AGCTGGAGCTACTGGGGGTGTTGGCGCTGGAAGGTGCTGCTGGCGCTGGTGCGTCTGAGGGTGCTGGAGTTGGCGCTATTGGAGCTGGAGGTGCTGCTGGCGCTGGTGCTGCTGCTGGGGGTACTGGTACTGTCCCTGCTGGTTCTGGAGGCGGTGCGCGGCCGTGGCCGTACTTCATTCCACTCCTTGAGCAGGTTCTTGGTCTCCCGCCATCTACTGGTCCTGCTCCTCCCTTAGAGTGTCCACAGCCTGTCCAGTCGCGGTCACAGTTACAGCCCGCCTCCCCCCTGCCTACTCCTTCTCCCTACACTGGTCCTACTGGAGGTCTTGGTGAGCGTCGTGAGCCTGCGTCTCGTCCTGCGTCGCCTGTTCGTGCTGCTCGCACTAGTCGTCATGCTCCGCGTCCGCGTCCTCCTGCGGTCCCAGGCACACACCAGATGGCACTGCGTCCTTCCACTGCTCCTTTGCGTGTCCCGTTGCCGTCTCCTCCAAAGTCCTCTCTTCCTGTTCTTGCTGAACCGGAGTCTGACTCTCTTCGTGCTGCCAGTCCTACTGTCACGCGTCTCCTGGCTACTGTTGTCACTGACCCTTCCTTTGAGTCCACTTCCGCGTCAGCCCTAGTTGCTGAGCTTGTCGACTTTGCTGCTCGCTGTCGTCTAGACTACGCTGCTAGTCTTGTTGCTGAGTCTGAGTCTGTCTGTCCTCCGTCCGTCAGGGGTGAGTGTGCTCTTAGCACGGACGTCCTTGAGGACAGGCAGGAGGAGTTCCAGTGTTTTGCTGCTGCTTTGCCTCATCTCGTGTCCACGCTGATTGCCCCTGAGGGAGACTCGGATGCACCAGACATCCCGACTCCTCGATCGTACGCTGAGGCGATCGAGGGTCCCTACTCCTCTCAGTGGCAGTCAGCCATGGACGCAGAGATGGCTTCCTGGAAGTCAACAGGCACCTACGTCGACGAGGTTCCCCCACCTGGGGCGAACATCGTCAGTGGCATGTGGATTTTCAGGGTGAAGCGGCCGCCGGGTTCTCCGCCTGTCTTCAAGGCGCGTTACGTGGCTCGAGGCTTCAGTCAGCGGCAGGGAGTTGACTACTTTCAGACCTTCTCTCCCACCTCGAAGATGACCACTCTTCGGGTGCTGCTGCACATAGCCGCTCAGCGCGACTACGAGCTTCACTCTCTTGACTTCAGCACAGCTTTCCTGCAGGGCAGCCTGCACGAGGAGATCTGGCTGCGCCGCCCACCTGGCTTCACTGGGTCGTTTCCTCCTGGTACCCAGTGGAGCCTCCGGCGGCCGGTCTACGGTCTCCGCCAGGCGCCCCGTGAGTGGCACGACACACTGAGGACTACACTTGCGGCTCTTGGGTTTGCTCCTTCTACAGCCGACCCGTCGCTGTTTCTGCGCACCGACACCTCTTTGCCGCCGTTCTACATCCTCGTGTACGTCGACGACTTGGTCTTTGCCACTGCTGACACTGCTGGACTCGCCCACGTGAAGTCCGAGCTGCAGAAGAGACACACGTGCACAGACCTGGGTGAACTGCGCAGCTACCTTGGCTTGCAGATCACCCGGGACAGAGCACAGCGCACCATTACCCTGACTCAGTCACACATGGTGCAGCAGGTCCTTCAGCGCTTCGACTTCACGTACTCCTCGCCTCAGGCCACTCCTCTGTCTACTCGCCACTCGCTCTCAGCTCTGCCTTCGGATGAGTCCGTAGAGCGGAGTGGCCCGTACCCAGAGCTTGTTGGCTGCCTCATGTACCTGATGACCTGCACACGACCTGACCTTGCATACCCTCTTAGCATCTTGGCACGCTATGTTGCTCCTGGGAGACACCGACCAGAGCACATGGCTGCAGCGAAGAGGGTGTTGCGCTACTTGTGCAGTACGTCGGGCATGGGGCTAGTGTTTGGAGGGCGACGTCGAGTGGTCCTCACAGGTCACGCAGACGCTTCTTGGGCTGACGACCAGGCTACGCAGCGGTCGTCACAGGGTTACACCTTCAGCCTTGGCTCCGGCTCTGTTTCGTGGCGGTCTACCCGCTCGTCTTCTGTTCTCGGCTCCAGCTGTGAGGCTGAGATCTACGCGGGGGCCATGGCTGCACAGGAGCTACGCTGGCTCACCTACCTGCTGACTGACCTAGGAGAGCCGCCTCGTTCTCCTCCAGTTCTGTACGTAGACAACAAGGCCATGCTGGCCTTGTGTCGGGAGCACAGACTGGAGCACAGAACGAAGCACATTGCTCTCCGCTACTTCCTTGCTCGTGAGCTGCAGCAGCGTGGTCAGCTGCGCCTTGCTTACGTGGCCTGTGAGGCCAACACTGCTGATATCTTTACCAAGGCACTTCCGCCTTGTGATCATCAGCGCTTCTGTACGATGCTAGGTCTTGTGCCTACTTGGCCTCACTTGCTCACTTCTTGACCTTTCTTGTACTGTGATCTTTCTATACCTGCACTTGCTTGTTTCCCTTTATATATGATCTTGCATGTGAACTGGCCTTGTGGCCTTGCTCTTGTGCTCGGACTGTGTGGTGACGTTGTGATCCACCCTGAGCTTGCTTTGCTTTGCTTGACTGGTCTTGTGACCTCTTGTTCTCCCCCACTTTGCCTATGGGGGTGTGTCAAACGTATATCATATAGCTTGTCTAGGCGATAGTGGGGTAGACACTATGGGGTACAGTTTCCTAGGGTTTCCTACTTGTACCCAACCTTGTGCTAGTTCATTCATTCCTCATTTCTTCACATCGCCTTACCTTGCTGGGGCTCGCCTGAGTCTTCGTCGGTGCGTGTCAACGCGATCACGATGAAACGCGCCGTAGCGGCAGGAGCTGAGGTGTACGCGATCGACATTCGGGAAGCCGAGGCAGCAGCATAAGGAGGGGATTTACAGAAACTGCTAGCCGACGTACCGAGTGACCTGGTAGCACTGTTGAAGCAGTACAGTGACATTTTCCCGGACGACTTACCGACGGGACTGCCACCTCAGCAACCGCACGACCACAGGATCGAGTTAGAACCGGGGGCACAGCCAACAGTACAGCGACAGTTCCGACTGACCCAACCCGAACTGGACGAACTGAGGAAGCAGCTGGATTACCTGCTCGAGAAGGAGTTCATTCGCCCTAGTTCGTCACCCTTCGCGGCACAGATACTGTTCACGCCGAAAAAAGACGGGGGATTTCGCATGTGCATAGATTACAGAGCACTGAACAAGGTTACCATCAAATCCCGTTACCCCATCCCGCGAGCCGACGAACTGATCGACCAACTGCGCACAGCCCGGGTTTTCTCGAAAATCGACCTTCGAGGGGGTTACCACCAGATTCGCGTCAACCCACCCGACTGCCCTAAGACACCCTTCGGACTGACCAACGCCCCCGCCACTTTTCAGGTGACCATGAAAGAAGCCTTCCGCCCGCTTTTTGATAAGTGCGTCATCGTATACCTGGACGACATACTGATTTACAGCCCTGACAGAGCACAGCACTTACAGGACATCGAAGCAGTTTTTAAGATACTGGGTGAGAACCACCTACTAACAAAAGCGTCTAAGTGTGAGTTTTTACAGGACCGACTGGAATTTTTGGGACACATTATTTCAGCTGCAGGAGTGGAAATAGACCCGAAAAAGATCGCGACGATTCAAGCATGGCACGCGCCGACCAACTTGACCGAGTTGCAGAGTTTTCTGAGGTTCGTCAACTATGTGCGCCGGTTCGTCCCCGACATGGCGAAGCTGACTGCCCCGTTGACCGACATGCTGAGGAAGGGGGTTGAGTACACGTGGGGGGAGAAAGAGCAAGCTGCCTTCTCGACCCTCAAAAATATTTTGTGCTCACCGCCCGTGCTTCACATCGCAGATCCGCACCGTCCATTCGAGCTGATCACCGACGCTAGCGACATCGCTGTGGGAGCAGTACTGCTGCAGGACTTCGGGAACGGCCTTCAGCCAATCGCGTACGAGTCCCGCAAGCTTCACCCGCCCGAACGCAACTACCCGATACACGACCGCGAGATGCTGGCGATCATGTTCCGCAGCTGTGTGGATGACTGTGACAGAGAGCCATCAACCATCGCTCCAAGGCGGAATTTCAGGGTGACGTGGGGCTGACACGCGGGCGGGACGCGCTGGAACTGAGGAGTCACCGATCTCCAATCGTAGAGGAGATTCACTCGCTTGATGCAGCGAAATTGTTGGATGGTTTGGATCTCAAGGGGAACTTGCACTGTAGTGCAAGGTCCAGCCCAGTTCTTGAAAGCCTGGAAAGTTCCTCCAACCGAATGATGTCGCTCAGCCAGTCGTTCGGAGCCGGAACATCGCACGCGACGAGGTGCTCTATCTGCTGCGACGAAGGCTGCCTACCGAACGATTTTCCGACGTCTCTGTTTTGTCGCAGTTGCAGTGGGACGGCAAGGTGTGACAGTTGCTTCGTTTAGGGGTGTCACACGCTTACGCAACAAAAGTCATAACCTTATGGTCGTAACTGATTGTTTAAATTCTGCATCTAGGTTGAGAATGTCAAACTGTCAAGAAAGCACCACTTCCAACCAGGTTTATGTGCTCCATTGGATCGTGTAACACCAGGTACCTAGGCAGAGTCAATTTACTACACATACCACAAGCATGGGGTACAAGGGCTGCTGCCTCAATACCAACATCCAGTACATACCGACAGAGCGTCCAAACATTTGCCGAGTTTGCTAGCACCAACTGTTGGTGCATGGCATGTCAATCAATACTCACAAGGCGTGTCAATCCTCACAAAATACTGGATTTCAAGCCTTGATCCCACATACTTCAGCTGGAGCTTTTCTCAGGCTGCACCAGTGCCACCAGCACCATCTGACCCTGGTGCAGCAGGAAATCCCCCTGCCAATCCAAATCAACAAACAAGCACATCCCCACACTGCCTTCAGGACACGGAAACTACTACTACCAAATTGCGAAAACCACAAATACGGGGAACTAATCAAAGGGTGTAGGTGATAGGCATATTACCTGCAGCCCCCCTGCCTCTCCCACGGCCACGTGGGCTGGACGTTCCCCTTCCACCTGTCTGCACCAGGCTGATCACTCGTGTGCCCCGGCCCTGCACAAGGGGTGCATGCATAGTGCATGTGAGGGGATGTGGCAGGTGGAGAGTGGAATGCACAATGTGACAATGTGACAAGGACCTCTCAGGGCTGATCACTCGTGTGCCCCGGCCCTGCACAAGGGGTGCATGCACAGTGCGTGTCAATGAATGCGGGGGTATGGAGAGTGGCAGGGTGAAAGGAAGGGGGTAGCACAGGTTTTATGTGTGAGTGAGTGTGTGTGTGTGTGTGTGTGTGTGTGTGTGTGTGTGTGTGTGTGTGTGTGTGTGTGTGTGTGTGTGTGTGTGTGTGTGTGTGTGTGTGTGTGTGTGTGTGTGTGTGTGTGTGTGTGTGTGTGTGTGTGTGTGTGTGTGTGTGTGTGTGTGTGTGTGTGTGTGTGTGTGTGTATGTCGCGCGTGTGTGTATGTGTGTGCACACAAAAGCCGTTCGGAAAATCAAAGAGCAAAGAGCGGCACAACAAGCATCAGAACACAGCAGAGCTGCTCCTGATCAAACAGGCTCCATTCAGACACACCAAAACGAGCATAGTTTTGAGACGTCTCAAAACCACAGCAGAGCTGCTCCTGATCAAACAGGCTCCATTCAGACACACCAAAACGACCATCAACAAATCCACAAGTCTACATGGGTCACTCACCCTTGCACCTCGGCCGCGGCGGGGAGACGTGGCGGCACCGAATCGGGCCTGCCTGGCGGCAGCGCGCTGAGCCGCCTCCCCTTCCCCTGCACCACCCCCCTCTCCCGCCTCCCCCCGCCCCCCACCTCGCCCTGCCGTTGCTGCCGCCACTGCTGCCGCCCTGCCTCTCAGCCCTGCTGTGGACCTCCTGGGTCGGGAAGCCATTCCTGCTGCTGCTGCTGTCTCTGCTGTGCCTGTTCCCGCTGTAGCTGCTGCTCCTGCTGTGCTCACTCCTGTACCCGGCTGCTGTGTTGCTGCTCCCTCCACTGCCCCAGCAGTACCGGCAGTACCAGTAGTACCAGCAGCACCAGCGGCAGCATCAGCGGTAGAATCAGCAGTGGCCGTTGTAGCAGCTCCAGTGGAAGCGGGAGCAGCAGGCACTGCAGCAGAGGCATCCCCAGGCGTGTCTTCAGGAGTCCTTTCAGGTGCTGGCTCCCCTGCACCTGCCTCTGCTACTGCTACCCCAGCACCTCCAGCAGCAGCACCACCAGACTCCCCCCCTGCTCCACCCTCTTCCTGCTGCTGCAGCCCCTCCCCTGCTTTACCCTCCCCCTCCTCCCCGCCCTCCACTTCCATCCCCCCCTCCTCCCCCACATCCGCCATCTCATGCTCATCTCCCCCTCCCCCTTCCCCTCCCCCTTCCCCTCCCCCCTCCCCTCCCCCTTCCCCTCCCCCCTCCCCTCCCCCTTCCCCTCCCGCCTCCCCTTCCCCCTCCCCCTCAAACATACCCCCTTCCCCGTCATACTCCTCATGCCCGCCCTCCTCCCCCTCCCCGTCCGCCCCCTCCCCCATGGCCTCATCTCCCTCCTCCCCATCCCCCATTGCATGCTCCCCCCCATCCTCTTCCTCCCCCAAACCCTCCACATGAATCTCAGAAACTTCTGCTCCCGCCCCTGCCTCTGCTCCCCCGCCTGTCTCTGCTGCCCCGCCTGTATCCCCTGCGCCCACCCCTTCCCCCTCCCTTTCCACTTCTGCCCCTGTGCTATCACCACCTGCCCCTTCCCCTGGCGCCCCTTCTCCGTTTGGCCCTTCCCCAGGCAAGAGGGCAGCAGACTCACCAGCCCCTGTGGGGGTAAGTGGAGGAGTGGGGGTGGGTGAGCGGGGAGGAGTGGCAGGAACAGCAGCAGCATTGGCAGCAGCAGCATCATCACTTGCACCACCAGCGGCATCATCAGCACCAGTGGCACCTTCACCTCCTGCTCCTTCCCCTTCTGTTGCTGCTGCTACTTCGTGCCCCTGCATGTCCCCCACCCCTGCTGCTCCCACTGGCGCACCCTCCCCCTCCACACCTGCACCCTGGTCTCCCTGCGTTTCCTTCTCCTCTGCCCCTTCTCCTGCCGCTCCCCCACCTGCCTCGCCCGCCAACCCCACTTCACCGCTTTGCACCGCTTCACTCACCCCTGCGGCCCCTTGCTCTTGTGCCCTACCTTCAACCTCCATCCCACCTGCAGCAGGTGCGGCCCGAACCTCGCCCGCAGGTTCGGAAGGCACAGGTGCAACAGGGGCTGGACCTGCGGGTGCTGGAACGGCAGCAGAAGGTGTAGGGGCAACAGCAGCAGGAGCAGGAGCAGCAGCAGTAGCAGTATCAGCTCCAGGTGTTGCTGCTGCTACCACTGGGCCACCAGTTGTAGCTGTCGCACTCTGTGTCACAGACGCACCCCCTCCGCTTCCTCCTGCTCCCCCTGCCGCGCCCCCGAACGAGGGTCGCATGATCCGCCTGTGCTTCACTGCACGCCCTCCCCGCCCCGCACCTGCCCTGCCTCCCCCTCGCCCAGCTACACCAGCAGCAGACCCCGCTGCCCCTTCTCCCCCATCCCCACCGTCGTCACCTTCCTCCCCACCGTCCCCCTCTCCTTCTGCCTCCGCAGTTGCTGGGGCAACAGCAGAAGGAGCGACCGCACCTGCAACAGGAGCGATTGCAGCAGCAGGAGTAACAGCAGCAGCAGCAGCAGCAGCAGGAGGAACAGCAGCTGCTGTAACTGCTGTTGTCGGTGCAGCAGCATCAGCAGCAGGACCAGAAGCAGCGGGAGCAGCGGCGGAAGCAGTGGCAGCAGCAGGGGCAGCAGCCTTAGCACGAGCCAACGATTGCATGAGCATGGCCCGCAGCTTGCTGGGATCACTGGCAAAGCGGGGTGCAGCGGCAGCAGCAGCAGTGGTAGCAGCCGCCGTACCAGCAGCACGGAGAGGAGATGTAGGGGAACCAGCAGCAGCAGGAGGAGCAGGAGCAGCAGCAGTAGTGGCAACAGCAGCAGCAGTGGTAGGAGCAGCAGCAGTGTCAGGGGTGGTGTCCAAAGGCCTAGCTTTCTTCTCAGCCAGACCCTTCACCTCCCCTGCTTGTGCGCCCTCCTCTTTCATAACTGCATCCTCCTCCTCCTCCCTCTTCCTCTTGCCCTTCTCCTCTGCCCCACTCACCCCACCAGCTGCCCCCTCCACCTCCATTGCTCCTGCAACCTTCGTCTTAGAAACACCTGCGGCGGCCACGGGAATGCCTGCATCACCAGCGGCAGCAGGGACAGCAGGGACTGGAGAAGCGGCAGCAGGAGCAGCAGAGGGCGCAACTGAGACCGCAGCGGCAGGAAGAACCGCAACAGGAGCAGCAGGCCCTGCAGGAGCAGTGGAAGGAGCAACAGGAGGAGCAGCAGCAACAGGAGGAGCAACAGCGGCAGGCACAGCAGCAGCAGCAGGAGCAGCAGCAGCAGGAGCAGCAGCAGCAGCAGGAGCAGCAGCAGCAGGAGCAACGACACCACCAGCCTCTGCGGTTTTCTGCATGGCTCCAAAGACAGCGTCATACTCCTGCGATGCTGCCCTCAGCTCTGATACCACTGCCGGCTCCTCAAACGCCCCCTCCTTGCCCTGGGCGGAGAGAGGGGTGCGAGTTGGAAGTAAAACGAGTGTGCGTGTGTGTGTGTACTGGCACGTGACTGTAAGGCAAAAAAGAGACCAAAAAAGCAAGGGCTGAGAGCACGTGAGTGGTAAACGCTCTCTTAGACGACTCAAGAGTCGCCAATGAAATCAATAAACGAAAAGGGAGAGAGTGCGTGGAGGGAAGAAAAAGGAGGAGGAAAACGAAGGGGAAGAGAAGAGAGGGACTGAGAGGGGCGGTCGAGGGGAGACGGGGCACACGTATGGTACCTGGCGTTGCTGCTTGATCCAATCTTCCACTGCCACCACCCTCACAGAGATGGTCTCGTAACTCTGCACACATACATTGCAACAGGGGGAGAGGAGGGAGGTGTGAGGGGGCGAGAAAGACGGCACTTGTGGCAGCTGGTACTGCTGCTTGATCCAGTCTCTTCCACTGCCATCTCAGGTAGGCATGTGTCAGGTAACCCCTTAAAGCCTGAGTGTGCGAACTTTGGCTTGTGATTCACACCCACCCACTCACTACCCAACCCACCCATCCACCCTGCCCTCTCCTCCCAGCAGCACCTCCTTGGCGTGCTGAAACGAGTCAGCATTGCTCTTGAGGTTCTCGGTCCCACCAAGCTCCATCCCACCTCACCCGCTACCCACCATCCCACTCAGCCCCACCCAGCCCCACCACCCCAAAACCAACCCCGCCCTGTCTCTGCTCCCAATCGCACCTGCTTGGTGCGCCGAATTGAGTCCGCAATGCTCTTGAGGTTCTTCTTGGTTCCACCGGGTTCCGTTCCAAAAAACACAACTCCATCCAACCCCACCCGATCCCACATGGCGCCCCCAACCCCAACCCCAACCCCACCCAATCCCACCAATCCCAACCATCCCTGATCCCATGCCCACCTCCTTGGCGCGCTGAAACGAGTCGACGATGCTCTTGAGGTTCTTGGTGCGCCTCTCCTTCTCTGCTGCCAGCTGCCTCTGCAGCAACTGCACCACCCCTCGGGGAGAACGCCCACAGGCCGAGAAGCAGCAAGCAAGAGACGGGCAGGAAAAGAAACGGATTAACACATCGGATCTCCGTCTTGAGTCACCGTATTTAAGAACCACTTCAACAGAAAAGAAAAGAAATGAGAAGAAAGAAAAAAAGAAGGGGGGGGGTTTCAGGCTCTAGCTAATGTCTCATGTTTACCAATTATGTAACTCAAGCCTCCCCCACATGGCTTGGGGTTCTATCTGGATGGAGGCCTTACCTGAATCCGGGAGTTCAGAATCCCCTCCGCCACCGCCGCCTGCTGCTTCCCAGAAGCTGCCTCCGCAGCACTCTTCCCCTCCTCCGCCTTCCTGGCCGCTGCACCCGCTGCCAACTGCTCCTGAAGCCTCTTTTCCAGGTCAGCCACTCGTTTCTGAGATGCCTCAGAGGCTGTCTGGAGCTTCTTTTCAAGGTCGGCGATGCGCTTTTCGAGCTCTGCTGCTTTGGTTTTTGCTGCCTCTGCCTCCTTGCTCTGCTGCTCCTTGGCCTGCCGCAGCTCCTCCTTCTCCTTGCTCAGCTGCTCGCCGTTGCGCTGCCATGATGGGAAGGAAGAGAGGCGGACAGACGGACAAACACACAGGTCGGATGCAAACAGGAAAGTGCCTACGAGTATAAGCTCCTCCTTCTCCTTGCCCAGCCCAGCTGTTCGCATTTGCGTGGCCATGCCGAAAAGGATCAGACAGACACACAAACAGGCACAAACATCAGATGCTGAGCATTAAGCCTTGACCCTGCACCTAGACCCTGAACACACCCTAAACCTGCTTAAAACCGCCCAGATTCTGGGAAGTCATGTCACGGTTTAGGATGACTCGCTTTCAAATGGGCAGGGTCACCATCTGAAAGCGAGTCATCCTAAATTCTGACATGACTTCCCAAAACCTGGCACTTTCAGAATATGGAGGCAAGAAAGGCGCACCTTGAATTTGATGGCTGTGTTCCTAAGCTTGGCAAACTCAGTCTTGTGCTTCGCCTGCCATGCACCCCCACCACATCCACGGTACAAACCGCACCCCACCCCACATACCACAGAACCGCACCCAACACAGCATACACCCCACCCAACCGCACCACACACCACACGCACATTCCACACGCACAAGCCTTAGAAATGAAGTAAAAATAGATACACAGAAACAATTAACATAACAGCAAAAACGAGAAGGAAACACAGAAAAGCGCTTACGAGTTTCATACGCATATCTGCATCTGCCCTCTTCCCCCTCTCCCCTCCCACTCTCAACTTCGCACGATTTTACCCACAACCCACACCTCCAGCTCTCCTCCCTCCCTTGCAAACCTTGTCTTCCTTTGCCACTTCCAGCTGCTTCTTCAGCTCCTCCCCTCCCACCGTCCGCTCCTTCTCCAACTTCCCATTCTCCGCTGAACTCTTTCCTCCCCCACCCCACTCACCTCGTTTTCTTTCGCCGCTTCCAGCTGCTTCTTCAGCTCCTCCCCTCCCACCATCCACTCCTTCTCCAACTTCCCATTCTCCGCTGAACTCTTTCCTTCCCCACCCCATTCACCTCGTTTTCTTTCGCCGCTTCCAGCTGCTTCCTCAGCTCCATCCCTCCCACCGTCCACTCCTTCTCCAACTTCCCATTCTCCGCTGAACTCTTTCCTCCCCCACCCCACTCACCTCGTTTTCTTTCGCCGCTTCCAGCTGCTTCCTCAGCTCCTCCCCTCCTGCCGTCCGCTCCTTCTCCAGCTTCCCCTTCTCCGCCGCCACCCCCCCCTTTCCTTCCTGCACTCTCCTCAACCCACTCACCTCGTTTTCCTTCGCAGCCTCTAGCTGCTTCTTCAGCTCCTCCCCTCCTGCCGTCCGCTCCTTCTCCACCTTCTCCTTCTCCGCCAGTGCAGCCCGCTGCCTCTGCAATCTGCACCTTTGAGACCTCCCAAGACTCACCTCGTTCTCTTTCGCCGCTTCGAGCTGCTTCCTCAGCTCCTCCCCTCCCGCCGTTCGCTCAATATCCAGCTTCTCCTTCTCCACCACCGCTACCCCCACTTTCCTCCCTGCACTCCCCTCAGCCCACTCTCCTCCCCTACTCCACTCACCTCGTTTTCCTTCGCCGCTTCCAGCTGCTTCTTCAGCTCCTCCCCTCCTGCCGTCCGCTCCTTCTCCAGTTTCTCTTTCTCCTCCGCAAGTGCCGCCCGCTGCGCCTCCAGCTTCGCCAGCTCAGCAGCCGCCCGCTTCTTCTCCGTCTCCTTGTCCTTTTCTGCTGCCTCTGCTGCAGCCTTTGCTGCTGCCAGCGCACCCCTCGCCTCTGCGAGCTCCTGCTCCAGCTGCTCCGCTTGCTTCTGCTTGGAGAAAAGCAAGAAGTAAAACAGTCAGTCAGTCAGTCAGTCATGAGGAACACAGAACTCGAACCAAGAGGAATTGGGATACAGTGTGCTGACACGAGGAGAGAGACAGCTGTTACCTCCTCACAACCAACCTTACCCCCTCTCACCTCTTCTCCGGCAACTGCTGCCCCACCTCCTCGCACAAACCTGTGAGTTCCAGAACCCGAGCCCCAGAACCCCACCTTAAACCCTAGCATTGAACCCGAGCCCCAGAACCCCGCCTTAAACCCTAGCATTGAACCCGAGCCCCAGAACCCCACCTTAAACCCTAGCACTGAACCCGAGCCCCAGACCCCCCCCTTAAACCCTAGCATTGAACCCGAGCCCCAGACACCCTTCCCCCCCCTTCTTTCTACCCTGTCTGTCTCACCTCTTTGACCTGCAGCTGGTCCTGCAGCCGCTGATACTCCTCAACATCGATCGCCTTGTACTTCTCCAGCAGCTGCTGCACGCGCCGCTGCCACCGCCCCGCCTCCTCCCTTGCACTCTCCACCTCCCTCTTCCCCGCAGCCACCTCCGCCTCCCTCCGCTGCACCGCCGCCTGCAGCGGCCCCACCTGCTGCTGCGCCTGCCGCGCCTTCTCCCGCCACTCGCCCGCATCCGCAAAGTTCCTCTGGCTCTCATCCCTCAGCATCGCGTTGCTCTCTCTGAGTAAATTCACCTGCGCCACCTGTGCTTTCAGTGCCGCAAACTCCCCTTCTGATTGCGCCGTCGCAGCCCCCCGCGCCCGCGCTTCTCTCAGCTGCTGCTGTGCCTCCTGCGCCTCTCTCTCTGCAGCCTCTACCTGTTTCGTCAGCCGCAGCCGCTCCTGCTTCAGCAGAGCCAGCTCCATCTCGGAAGCTTCCTTGGAACGGCGCAGGAACCGCACCACCTCCTGCAGCTCCGCTAGCCCTCCGTCCTCCCCCACCCCCGCTTCCCCTCCCCCTCCCCCTTCCCCTTCCCCTTCCCCTTCCACTGCTGCTGCCGCCGCCCCTCCGCCTCCTCCTCCAGCTGCTCCTGTCCCTCCTGCTGCTCCACCCGCTTTACCCGGCGACGGGGAGGCAGCAAATCTCCTCCTCCCTACACCAGGCGAAGCAACCCCACCAGCCTTGCCAGGCGTCCCCACACGCAGCGCCTCAAGCCGATCCAGCAGAATCACATTCTGAGCCTCCACCTCCTTTGCCTTCCCCTCTGCAGCAGCCCGTGCAGCCTCCAGCCCCCCCTTGACTGTCTCCCACTCGGCCCGCAGGGAGGTCAGCTCTGCTTCGGCCTTCTCTGCCTTGCTGCGCCACTCCCTTTGCCCTGCCTGGGCGGCGTTGAGCGTCTGACTCACGCCGTCCAGCTGGCGAATGGTGTCTGCTTGCAGCACGACCTGGTTGCAGCAGGGGGAGGATGGGGAGGCAAGAGGAGACGCAGGATGGGAGGCAAGAGGAGCCGCAGAGGGAGAGAGCAGGGGAGGTTGGAGGTCGGTAGGTGGGTGGTGTGCGGGGGGGGAGGAAGAGGTTGTGAGGATAAAAATGGACCAGGACGGAAGTTTTGCAATTGCAAGTTTTGAGAACGGAATACAGAGGCGTTTGGGGGGGCCACGAACGCTCATCTGGCACCCACCTGTCGCTCGTAGTTGGTCTGAGCCTCCCTCCACTTCTGGCGCATCTCCGATGCCTCCTTTGCCTCTGACTCCACCCGCCACTCTATCTCCTCCACCCGCGCCCTGCATAGAGACACACGGACAGAGACAAGCCGCTATTGAGAATTCTCAAAGCCATCCCACCCCAACCCATCCCACTGCACTCCACCTTAACCCACTCCGACCCACCCCACCACACTCCACCCCACTCCACACACCTGAAGGCATCCCGCTCCACAGCAGCCGCCTCCAGCTTGCGGCTGACATCAGCAAACGCCCCCTCATGCTCCTCCGTGAGCCCCGTGGCCCCCGCCACTGCAAGCTGTTGCTACGAATTCACAAACACCCCACATCATCCCATCCCACCGCACTCCACCTCATTCCACTCCACTGCACTCCACCCACCTGAAGGCGTCTCTCTCCACAGCAGCCGCCTCCAGCTTCTTGCTGACATCAGCAAACGCCCTCTCATGCTCCTCCGTGAGCCCTGTTGCCGCTGCCGCAGCATCTGCAGCCCGCTTCTCTGCCTCTTTCACCCTCCCCCTCAGCTCCTCCGCTGCTGCCGCTGCTGCAGCTCGCTCTTTCTCAGCCTCCTCCTTGAACGAGCTGTGCTGCTGCATCATACGCTCTAGTGCTTCCTCGTTGGCCTTTCCAATTGCCTTGTACTGGTGACGGTGGAGAGACGTGGGGGAGAAGAGGAAGAGTGGGATGTGGGAGGCAGAGGAGGAAGTGGGAATCACACACACACACACACACGCACGTGCACGCGCACGCACGCACGCACGCACGCACGCACGCACGCACACACACACACACACACACACACACACACACACACACACACACACACTGACACACAGGCTAACACGACAAGGACACAACAAAGGGAGTAGGCATGCAAGACGGGGTGGGACGCGAGACAGGTAGCAAGCCATGTAACGCTAGTTGGAAATTCTGAAGAGGTAGCGAACTATGAAACACCGAATCACAGCACAACCTCGAATGCGAGCCCTGAGCACCCACCTGAGCCAGGTACCCCTGGGACGCCTCGAGCTCCTCCTTAAGCCGCTGCACCTCCACCTCTGCCTTGTGCAACCTTTGAGATTTCTCAAGCGAACCCCAAATGCAATGCGAGTCCCCCAAGACACCCACCTGAGCCAGGTACCCCTGGGACGCCTCCAGCTCCTCCTTGAGCCGCTGCACCTCCTCCTCTGCCTTGTGCAACCGCTCTTCCACGTCCTCCTCCTCCATGCCCTCGCCCTCCTTCCCACCACCACCAGCAGTACCAGCAGCACCAGCACCAGCACCACCAGCTGCCCCAGCCTCCCCAGCTGCCCCAGCACCAGCATCACCACCGCCGGCAGCAGCACTAGCAGCAGCCGCAACAGCAGCCGCCGCCGCATCCCTCACCGAAGCCGATCTCAAGCTCCTCCCTCCCACACCCCCGCCCGCACCGCCAGCAACAGCAGCTGCCGCAACCGCTTCCAACCGCTTCACACCCGCCTGCAGCTCCTCACACCGCGCCTCTGCAGTCTTAGCCTTGGTGACAGCGGCGCTGAGCTGCTGCTTGAGCTGCTCCACGTCCTTCCACGCTGCACTCAGCTTTGCCTCTGCATCCGCTGCTGCCCTGTCCCTGGCCTCCACCAGGTGTCGCGAGTGGTCCCTCTCGGCTTCCAGGGCGCGACTGGCCTCTGCCCACTCGCGCTGCGGGAGGGGAGGAGCACGGGATTCGCATGGGGTAGAGACAGGAGATGGGAGATGAGAGATGAGAGACGGAGGGAGGTTCCCTTGTCCCAGGCCTCCACTGGTAACAGCAGCGCTGAGCTGCTGCTTGAGTTGCTCCACGTCCTTCCACGCTGCACTCAGCTTTGCCTCTGCATCCGCTGCTGCCCTGTCTCTGCCTTCCACCTGGTGCCGTGCCGCGAGTGGTCTCTCTCTGCCTCCAGCGCTCGACTGGCCTCCGCCCACTCGCGCTGCAGGGAGGGAGGGGAGGAGCACAGGGATGGGAGTGAGTTTAGAGAATTCTCAAGAAATTGGTTTGCTGCCGCCCTGTCTCTGAAGTTAACCAACCAGGGCAGGGAGGGGGCTGGCAGTGGGAGTTAACTACCCAAATAAACACAACCAGCTCAACCGAAGGTCACCCCAGCAACATCAGACAACCCAGAGCGAGTCAACGCCCACCTGCATGCGGTCAATGAACCCTCAAGCCGCTTCCTCTCAGCGGCCCATGTGGTTTCGCAGGCAGCCTGGGTGCTCTCAAGTGAGTCGTGAGCCGCCTGCACGCGGTGCATCCTCTCCAACCGAGTCAACCTAGTCAACCAGGTCAACCAAGTCAACCAAGTCAACTCAGTCAACGCCCACCTGCATGCGGTCAATGGAGTCTTCAAGCCGCTTCCTCTCAGCGGCCCACATGGCCTCGCGGGCAGCCTGGGTGCTCTCCAGTGAGTCGTGAGCCGCCTGCACGCGGTGCATCCTCTCCAGCGCACTCCCTGCCTCTGCTGTCGCCCTCTCCTCTGCTGCCGCAAGCAGAGCCTTCTCTCGCTCCAACACCGATGCCTGCAGAGAAAAGGGCACAGAGATGCGTATATGATATAAGAAAGACGGAACAGCTCTCCAGCGCACTCCCCGCCTCCGCTGTCGCCCGCTCCTCTGCTGCTGCCAGGAGTGCCTTCTCTCGCTCCAACACAGATGCCTGCAGGGAGAGAGGCAAAGAGATTCGTATAAATTAGGCTGAACAAGCACCTGCCCCCCTCCACTACCACTGCCTCTGGACTCTGCTGCGGCCAGCAGGCTCTCCTCTCATCACACCAGATGAATTTTGCGAGGACTCAGATTGAACTTTTGAGAATTCTCAAAAGTTCTCTCATTACCACTGACATTTTGCGAGGACTCAGAAAATCACATGCCTGTGGAAAGAACCCCCCCACCCTCCCCCCCCCACAATCAAATCAAGCACATAGCAGTGCAAACTCAGACACAGCATTCTCTCACCTCAATAGTTGCACGGGTAGCCTTTTCCTCAGCGGCAGCGAGCAGCCTCTCAGCATCCCGCAGCTGCCTCTGGTGCGCCGTCACCGACGCTGCGAACTCACTGCTGCGTGCCACTGCTGCATCTTTCACCTTGCGCTGCGGGGGGGAGAGCGGGAAGAAGGGTAGGGAGGGGAGGAAGCGAGGATGAGGAAGCACTCAGTCAGTAGATTATAGCCCTACCGCAATATTGTTGCAGTCGAATAATGCTGAAGCAGTACTTCACAAACACACCAATCAGAATCACGATCAAAATCACTATCACAATCACTCAGCGACGCCCTCCTATCGCCATCCCTCCGTCCCATGAAACCACATCTCACCTCCTCTTCCAGTGTCTTCTCGAGTGCCTCTGCCTGCTGCTTGGTGAACTGCGCCTCTGCCTCCGCTCGCATGCGCTCCATTCGCGACTCACTCGCCACCTTCCTGTGATTGTGCACGCACCAACACACGCATCCATGCAGCATCCAACCATGCATGCATGCACAGTGCACCCAAGCACACATGCACGCATGCACCCACACACACACAAACATGCGACACGCATGCACATCACACAAACACCAAAGGTACCAGAAAGCGTTGGCACAAGCACTACTAGCCGAGACGTTACCAGACTAGACACAACTAGGTGCTTGTGCCAACGCTAGTGTGAGACTGTGGCAATTGGGTGCTAGTGCCAATGTCTCTACAGCTAGTGGCGATTGGATGCTCACAGTGTCACCACCTAGCGGGGGCACTACCGTGACACACGCACCTCCTAAGCTTCCTAGCAGGAGTCAATGCAGTCCCCACCTGGCAGCATCGAGAGCCTCCTGCAATTCGTCCATGTGCTGCTTGTGTGAGGTGCGTGGTTGCATGGTGCAATGGCAGCACGGGGGAGTGCTGGTATGGCAGCGTGTGATGGTGTGATGGCATGGTGGTGTGGTGAAGTGCGAACCCCACCTGGCAGCATCAAGGGCCTCCTGCAGTTCGTCCATGTGCTGCTTGCGGTGTGGTGGTGTGGTGGCATAGAAGCATGGTGGTGTGGTGTGGTGTGGTGTGGTGTCGTGTGGTGTGGTGTGGTGTGGTGTGGTGTGGTGTGGTGTGGTGTGGTGTGGCAGAGTGCAAGCCCCACCTGGCAGCATCAAGGGCCTCCTGCAGCTCGTCCATGTGCTGCTTGCGGTCCTGACGCAGCCTCTCCAGCTCCTCCTGCTCCCATGCCAGGCCGGATGGTGGCATGGTCGCGTGGTGGTGTCGTGGAATGATATGGTGGCATCACATGAAGGACGGTAAGAAACACATGGAAAAACATCAAACACAAAATGGTCAGAAGAAAAAATCGCGAGTGAGGGAGTAGACTGTTCATCCAGCAGAAGCATTCAAACATTCACTCGGTATGCGCAAAGAACTTCGGAAAAAGCATGTCTAGAACAATGAGGAACGGAGGGAGGGGGGCAGAGACACCGAGACAAGGAAGCAGGAGAGTGAGATGATGGGCTGTGGGGTACCTGCGTTGCTGTGTAGAGAGTCTTGTAGTCCGGACCTGCCATTGAGGGGGATGAGCACGAGGGTAGAAACGAGGACAGGCAGCGGCAGAAAAGAGGGCAGGCAGCGGCAGAAAAGAGGGCAAAGAGAAGCAGAGATGAAGCATACATGAAGGGTGGCACACCTTTAGCCCAATGCAGCATATTGAACAGTGAATAAAATGGAACAGCAGCTACTTAACAGAACCTGCTTGGCTATACAGCAAGTGATGATTACTCCATCCAAAATATCCACATATGGGAAGAGGCGCAATCGCGTATGGGACTGAATAGGGAGATGCCATCACACGACTCACCACCACTCACCACCACTCACCTCACACGAATCAACTCACCATCAGGGGGAGGGGAGGAGAGCATGGGCACGGCGGGCGCTCCCTTGGCTGCTGGAGAATCCGCAGCACCAGGGGCAGCTTCTGCAGTGCCTGATGCCATGGCCCTCACTCGCTGCTGCTGCTCATCGTACAACTCTGACTCCACTCACCATCGCTCAACTGGACTCACCATCAGGTGGAGGGGAGGAGAGCATGGGCACGGCAGGCGCTCCCTTGGCTGCTGGAGAACCAGCAACACCGGGGGCAGCAGCAGCGGTGCCTGATGCCAGGGCCCTCACTCGCTGCTGCTGCTCGTCATACAGCATTTTGAACATGTCGTGCTGGTGGTGGGAGGGAAGGGTGGGGAGGCGAGGAGGACACCATGGGAGAGAGGGTGAACTAGACGCGACGCTTCATGCCATGGCGCGCGCATGCGCTGCTGCTGCTCGTCATACAGCATTTTGAACATGTCGTGCTGGTGGGGTGAGGGGTTGGAGGAGGTCGATCGAGGGGAGGGGGGAGTAGGAGGTGGTGAGGGGGGCATGGAACCAGGAACACAGGGCGGCGAGTCAACACGGCAACAATAACGTGGAGCATGAGCAGAGGGACAACACGACAGCGAAGGCCTGAGAAGGAAGAAAAATGGCAACGGGCAGAGCACTCACAGCAGCCTTGTGGCGCTGCGCCAGCTCCTCCTGCTCCTTGAACATCCCCACCACCCGCTCCACCTCCTTGGTGCTCTTTTGTGGCACCGCAAAGGCTTGCGGGGGACAAGAGGGCAAGAGAAGAGACGGAGCACTCACAGCAGCCTTGTGGCGCTGCGCCAGCTCCTCCTGCTCCTTGTACATCCCCACCACCCGCTCCACCTCCTTGGTGCTCTTTTGTGGCACCGCAAAGGCTTGCGGGGGACAAGAGGGCAAGAGAAGAGACGGAGCACTCACAGCAGCCTTGTGGCGCTGCGCCAGCTCCTCCTGCTCCTTGTACATCCCCACCACCCGCTCCACCTCCTTGGTGCTCTTTTGTGGCACCGCAAAGGCTTGCGGGGGACAAGAGGGCAAGAGAAGAGACGGAGCACTCACAGCAGCCTTGTGGCGCTGCGCCAGCTCCTCCTGCTCCTTGAACATGCCCACCACCCGCTCCACCACCCGCTCCACCTCCTCGGCGTTTTCATGCATTTACTCAAAGGGGAGCAGTACTCACAGCAGCCTTGTGCCTCTGTGCCAGCTCCTCCTGCTCCTTGTACATGCCCACCACCCGCTCCACCTCCTTGGCGTTCGCTGCTGCCCGCCTCTCCAGCTCCTCCTCAAACCGAGCCTGCTCACAGCACAAGCACAAAGTAAATGAATTTGGGGCTCATAGATGGCAGGGGGCATGTGAACTAGACTGAGCAGTGCTGATGAAGGCAGAACCAGCTGGAAGAGATTGAGACTTTGTATTATCCTGACTGTAACACAGTAAACACAAGGCAACATCCCTCTTCCCAGAAAAAACAGTCGTTCTGGTATGCCACATGATAGCGCACCTTGACCCGTGGCTCCAGGGAGCTGTAGTCATCCTGCAGCTTCCGCAGGGCATGGCGGAGCGACACATGTTGGCATGAGGTGGCTCTTGCATCGACCCAAGAGTCAATTCGACCCAAGAGTCAATTCTGTCATGCACACGGCGTTCACATACCTTGACCCGCGGCTCCAGGGTGCTGTAGTCGTCCTGCAGCTTCCTCAGGGCATGGCGGAGCGACGTGTTGGCCTGCACCAGGCCCCCAATGTCCGTGATGGTCAGCTGCACAGACGGGTAGAGGAAGCGGGGTAGGAAAGGGATCGAGAGAATACAAGGACGATTGTGCAAGGGGCATTCAGCTGCTGCATGGCATGGTGGGACGACGTGTTGGCCTGCACCAGACCCCCAATGTCCGTGATGGTCAGCTGCAGAGACGGGTAGAGGGGGCAGGGGAGGAAGGGGATTGGAAGAGTTTAAACGAGGAGTGTATAAAGGGCATGCAGCTGCTGCAGCAAGTGGCGGAGTGATGTGTTGGCCTGCACCAGACCCCCGATGTCCGTGATGGTCAGCTGCAGAGATGGGTAGGAGGAGCAGGGCAAGATGGGGTTTGACAACATTCAGGCGCATCGCGGAGCCGTGCAGCGTTACAGGGGTTACAGGGACAACTGAGCTGTTACAGGGACAACTGAGCTGTTACAGGGCGCAGCAGAGAGCCGTGTTTGCTTGCATCACGACCAGGGCACTGATGTCCGTGATGGCTTTTGAGGCGCCTCAAAAATCGATCAGGGACCTGATGTCCATGATGGTCAGTCAGTCCACTGCTGAAGCGCATCGACAGAGCAGGGGGCTTGAGAGAGTTCAGGTGAAGGACCTGCGAGGTTTTCTTAAAAATAAAAACATTTTAAACTGCTCCCCCCTCCCCCTCCTCTCTCCCTTCCCCCCTTCCTTCGCTGACCTGCTCCACGGAGACGAAGTCTGACGAGGAGGGCCGTGGCGGGGTGGGCGGAGCAGTGGCTTCGTTATTAGCACGCTGCATGCTCACATCCCTCAGCTCCTTTAGGAGCACAGTCACCTGAGAGGGGTGGATGGAAACAAGAGAATAAAAGGAGGCAAGAGGGAGAAAGAGGTGGTAAAGAAAACAGCAAGAAACAACATAGGCAGGCAAGCAAGACCGATTGAGTTTACTCCAAATACTCCAATTCGATTGTGGTGTTAAGGTTCCTCCTACGGGCAACAAATGGAGCTCTGCTTCTAGGTTGAGGAGGACATATTCACGGAAAAGACCCTGACCCACCCACCACCCCATCCTCCACACCCACTGCACCTGGCTCTGCAGGTCTGCCACATCGGTGGACAACAGGCTCACGTCCCTCTCCTCTTTTGAGGCCCCTCAAAACTCGACCCACCCACCCACCCACCCGCCACTCCCCACCCATTGCCCACTGCACTGCACCGCACCTGGCTCTGCAGGTCTGCCACATCGATGGACAGCAGGCTCACATCCCTCTCCCTGCACGACTTTTGAGGCGCATCTAAACTCGACCCACCCAAACCCCGCTCCCCGCTCCCCATCCCCCACACCCACTGCACCTGGCTCTGCAGGTCTGCCACATCGGTGGACAGCAGGCTCACGTCCCTCTCCCTTGCCCGCAGCTCCGCCTGATAATGAGACATGATGGATTAAACCGGGCGGCGGGGGGGGGAGGGGGGGAAGACGTTGGGGCATGAGGTTAATCGTCCCAATGCATACACTGCAAGGGAAAGGAACATTGAGAACCGTGGCTGTAGAGTGGACGTCACCTGCAAACATGCAATCATGCACGCTCTGAGACCTGAAACCGTCGCAACTGTTTAACTGTTAGCTGGCCCGCTGCTTGGAGCCTGCTTGCCCTGCATGTCGTCATATGCACGGGCCATACACACGTGCTGCTGCTGCTGCTACACTCCACTCCACTCCACAGTGTTAGAGACCAACTCTCGCTGCATTCGGCATTTGAGTCGACTCAAAAGCACACGTGCTGCTGCTGCTACACTCCACTCCACTCCACAGTGATAGAGAGAGACCAACTCTCCCTGCATTCGGCAAAAGATGCCTCCACTGCAGCAGCCTGCTGATCCGCAGCCAGTGCCAGCTTGTCCTGCATGACGTCGTATGCACGTGCCATGCATTCTAACCCCACCAACCTTCTCCACAATCCCTGTTACTTGACTCAAGCACCGCACCGCACCGCGGGTAACTGCTCACCCTGCACTCCGCTAAAGATGCCTCCACAGCAGCCTGCTGGTGCGCCGCCAGAGCCAGCTTGTCCTGCATTAAAGTCGCACGCGCCCCAGTTCCCTTCCCTTTCACCTGAGTCAGGAAAAGTTGCTCACCCGGCACTCAGCCAACGATGCTTCCACAGCAGCCTGCTGGTGCGCCGCCAGCGCCAGCTTGTCCTGCATGACGTCGTATGCACGGGCCATGCGCGCATGCTGCTCTCGCTCCTCCAGCACCATTCCTGCCTTCTGCTCGATCTCCCTCAACACCTGTGGGCCGGGAGAGGTGGGATAAGGAAAGGAGAGTGGGTGGGTGGGAGGGTGGGATGTCGTGCGTGACATCACACCCGGAGGCATGCTGCTCTCGCTCCTCCAGCACCATTCCTGCCTTCTGCTCGATCTCCCTCAACACCTGTGGGCCGGGAGAGGTGGGATAAGGAAAGGAGAGTGGGTGGGTGGGAGGGTGGGATGTCGTGCGTGACATCACACCCGGAGGCATGCTGCTCTCGCTCCTCCAGCACCATTCCTGCCTTCTGCTCGATCTCCCTCAACACCTGTGGGCCGGGAGAGGTGGGATAAGGAAAGGAGAGTGGGTGGGTGGGAGGGTGGGATGTCGTGCGTGACATCACACCCGGAGGCATGCTGCTCTCGCTCCTCCAGCACCATTCCTGCCTTCTGCTCGATCTCCCTCAACACCTGTGGGCCGGGAGAGGTGGGATAAGGAAAGGAGAGTGGGTGGGTGGGAGGGTGGGATGTCGTGCGTGACATCACACCCGGAGGCATGCTGCTCTCGCTCCTCCAGCACCATTCCTGCCTTCTGCTCTATCTCCCTCAACACCTGGTGCGCCGGGGGGGGGGAGGGGGGGGGGGGGGAGGGGGGGTTGGGGTAAGGGGAGAGTGGGTGGGAGGGTGGGTTGTCACACCAAGAACGGGCTGCTCTCGCTCCTCCAGCACCACGCCCCCCTTCTGCTCGATCTCCCTCAACACCTGGTGCGTTTTGTGGGGAGGTGTGGTGTGGGGTAGGTAAGGGAGGAGAGTGGGTGGGAGGGTGGGTCGTCCTTCATGGCATCACACGCGGGGGCATGCTGCTCACGCTCCTCCAGCACCACTCCCGCCTTCTGCTCTATCTCCCTCAACACCTGGTGCGTGTGTGTGCACGTGTGTTGGTGATGGAAGGGGAGGAGGGGGGAGGAGAGGAAGGGGGGGGAGGGAGTTTTGATTTCGGGGCGGGAGAAGAGAGAGGGGGGGGAGGGGGGGGTGGGGTGCTCACGCTCCTCCAGCACCACACCCGCCTTCTGCTCTATCTCCCCCAGCACCATGAGTGGGTAAGAGGGTGGCTTGCAGAATCACCCCATGGTATGCAGAATATTACAGCCAGCCGGCCGGCCAGCCACAGGTTGCAGGCGACTCAAAGCAATAGGGTGGGGGGGGGACACCCATCATCCAATTATCATTCCTATTCCCACAATTACTCTCCCTCTCTCACCCTGTTGAGCAGAGTCTCTGCCTGCCGCCGATGCTGCCTCTCGTGGTGTTGCAGGTGTTTTTGAGAATTCTTACCCTGAAAACACCCTGAAAGCGGCAAACCAAACATGGGAGGCAGTTCACTCACCCTGTTGAGCAGAGTCTCTGCCTGCCGCCGCTGCTGCCTCTCATGGCGCCAGGCATCTGCTGCCTCCTCATACTTCTCGTACATCGTTGCCATCTGCACACGGGCGGGCGGGCATGGGCGTGCATGGGGATAAGGTGACGTTTGAGACAACCTAAAAGCTGCCTCTCGTGGCGCCAGGCATCTGCTGCCTCCTCATACTTCTCGTACATCGTTGCCATCTGCAGCAGCACATGGGCGGGCATGCACAGCAGGAAAATGACTCAGGGACAGATAGAGAAAAAGCATGCTGATGGAACCAAGAGAGGGCGGGAGTTTCAGAAGTGACCTTTTGTTGACTCAGTGGAATCGAATGGACACAGCAGCACAAGAGTTTCAAGACGGCAGCATGTAGCTTCACCCACCGTCCAGCCGTCCTTGACGAGGTAGGAGGCGAGGGCCACTCCTGTGACGCCCTGCGGCAGGGCTGGCGGCACACTGCCCCCCCCATGCAGCACGGCCGCCAGCTGCCTGTCCCTGCATGCATGTGAAGCAGATACCGGGGGGGGGCGTGGGAGGGGAGGGTATGAGAGCGGGGGAAGAGGATGAGAGAGTGAGAGGAGGACGAAGCCGAAAGACGCGAACGAAGCAGGAAAAGATAGAAGGAATTAAAGGGTTGCACCACAGAACTTGAGCACCCCCAACAAGAGCACTCCTGGAATGGAACCTTCAACAGCAGCAGGCACCGGCACCAGCAGCTGCCTTACTGGAAGCAGATGCCTTCTACGACCTAGTGAATGAGCTCACAAGGGCTAAAAGGAGCCGGCAAGTGGCAGGGAGAGCAGCAGGCACAAGGTCCAAGCCACCAGCGCCAACAGCTGCCTTAGCAGCTGCTTCATGTTGCCCTCCTGCAACCTAGTGAAAGTACTCACAGGGGTTGAATGGGACCGGCGGCGGCAGGGAGAGCAGCAGGCACAAGGTCCAAGCCACCAGCGCCAGCAGCTGCTGCTGCAGCGGCAGCTGCCTCAGAGGCAGCAGCAGCCTTCTTGTTGGCCTCGTCAAGACTCTTCTGCAGCTCATCACAGCGCCTCTGCAGCTCCTGCTGCTGCTTCCCTGCTGCCTCCTCGGCTGCCTTGACCCGACCCTCGCCCTCCTCCTCCACTTGCTTCAGATGATCCTGAAGAAAGCACAGGGTGGGGTGACGTAGATACAGGAAGAAACAACGCAAGTGCCTTTCAGTCTGATTAAAGGCTCTCCAAAAGGACACGAGACAGGGGATGCAAATTTGAGCAGACTTAAAAACACAGAGTCATGATTCTCCAAAAGAAGGTGGGCGAGAGGATGCGTACAATACAAGTTCGAGATGGGATTTGGTCAAAATGAACGGCCATGCGGCAGACTGACCTCGAGTGACTTCACAACGCCCTTGAGGTCTGCCGCCCGTTCACCTGCCTCCGCTGCACTCTCCTTGTACAGCTCCACCAGCTTCTTCGCCTGGCGTGGCGAGGGGGGGGAGGGGGAGGGCGGAGAGGAGTGTGTGTGTTGGTGAGGGGAAGGGAGATGAGTCTCAAAAGTCGCCGTTCTTTCACCCGCCTCCACTGCACTCTCCTTGTACAGCTCCACCAGCTGCTTCGCCTGGCGTGGCACGGGCGGGAGAGAGGGGTGTGTGAGTGAAAGTGAGTGTGTGTTTTGGTTCGAGGGGGGGGAGCGGGGAAGCTGCTTCTCAAGAGTTGCAGCCCGTTCACCTGCCTCCGCTGCACTCTCCTTGTACAGCTCCACCAGCTTCTTTGCCTGGCGTGTGTAGGGAGGGGGAGCAGCACGCCAGGAAGAACTCGTGTAACTGCTGGAAACGGGGAAACATGCACAACAAACTGCAGGCAAAAACCATCTTAAGCGCTGCTAACAAACAACAAATCGTTTCCGAAAAAGAGTGCACGATCGCGTTTCAACAGCAACCATATCACTTTCCGCATGCTGTCACCCCAACCAGCTCACCATTCAGCATGGATGACGCTGGCACAGATACAGCCTGAGGCTCTGGCACTACGACAGCCTGAGGCTCTGGCACTACGACAGCCTGAGGCTCTGGCACAGGGACAGCCAAAGGCTCTGGCACAAGGACAGCCTGAGGCTCTGGCACAAGGACAGCCTGAGGCTTTGGCAGAGGAACAGCTTGAGGTACTGGCTCAGGGACAGCCTCAGGCACTGGCACAGGGACAGCCTCAGGCACTGGCACAGAGACAGCCACAGCCTCCAAAGAAATATGGCACCACACTTTTTTTGGAGGCTGTGGCTGTCTCTGTGCCAGTGCCTCAGGCTATCCCTGTGTCAGTGTCTCAGGCTATCCCTGAGCCAGTGCCTCAGGCTGTCCCTGTGCCAGTGCCTCAGGCTGTCCCTGTGCCAGTGCCTCAGGCTGTCCCTGAGCCAGTGCCTCAGGCTGTCCCTGTGCCAGTGCCTCAGGCTGTCCCTGTGCCAGTGCCTCAGGCTGTCCCTGTGCCAGTGCCTCAGGCTGTCCCTGATATATCTGGTTGCCGCGATCCACCAGTCACTGCACACTCGACAACAGGACTCACGACAACTCCGACCACAGCACTCACAGTCTCCAGTTCAGCCGCCAGCTGGCTCTCATGCAGCGCCTCCTCCTCTGCTCGCTTCTTCACCTCCTGCAAACAACAACGTCATGGATGGGTGGAGTACCAGCAAAGGGCCAGAGAGAGCACACCACACGTTATGCGAGTGAACACTCAGCGACTATCACTCAGTAGCAGCCACGAAGCATCATTTTAACAATGTTTGGGGAAAAAAAAAACGAGTAGAATAAAAGAAAAAAGAAACCTCTCTCTAGCATCGGCTCGCTGGACCCACCGTTTGCAGCTCCGCCACGCGCGCCTGGGCGGACGCCTCAGCAGTCAATTTCGAAAAAAATCAATAATACTCACAGTAAGCGTGGCACGAGTTGGCCCACCTGTTGCAGCTGCGCGACCATCCCCTGCAGCTCCGCCACGCGCGCCTGAGCGCGCGCCTCAGCAGCGCGCAGGTCGTCGCGCTCATGCTCAGCGCCCAGCAGCTTGCTGCGCAGCTCCGCCTCACCCTCCGCGCGCGCGCGCCTCTCTTCCTGCAGCGCGCCCGCCTTCCCCGCCACGTCCTCCCGCAGCCACGCCAGGTGCTCCTCCAAAATCTCCTTCTCCTGCGCTCACATTCACAGGGAGAAAAAAGTGGGGAACAAACGACCACGAGCACACGAACCTTCGAAACGTCTCAAAAGCAGCCAGCCACGCCAGGTGCTCCTCCAGAACCTCCTTCTCCTGCAGTCGCGAGAGGGAAAAGGAGGGAATAAACGAACAGAACAGACATGAGGGTCCAGCTGCAGGATCCCCTTCTCCTGAGGCCAGGCCACGGGGGAAAACGATTTTTGAGACGTCTCAAAAGTCAGGACAGCCATGAGGGTCCAGCTGCAGGACCCCCTCCTCCTCAGGCCAGGCCACGGGGGAAAACGATCGGAATAAACGAGAAGCAAACTCGGATGCCCGCACTCACGGTCGGATGCCCGCACTCACGGAGATGCTGGAGGAGCTGGGAGATGAACGAACTAGTTGGGGAGGTATAGTGTAGTATCGGATTACTGCTGGATGAGACGTGCTTACACATGGAAGTAGAAGAGGGACTAGGGGCTCGTCTGTCGCACCTGCACGTGGCGGTTAACGGCGGCCTTGCAGCGGGACGCCTCTGCTTCAGGTGTATGAAGATTATTCATGAGACCTCTCAAAAAGAAGAAGAGGGACTAGGGAGGGACTCGTCTGTCGCACCTGCACGTGGCGGTTAACGGCGGCCTTGCAGCGGGACGCCTCTGCTTCAGCCTTCCTCAGCCGACCCTCCAACTCAGTCCGCGAATCAGTCAGGGAGACCTGAGGTGTGACAATATCGAACAGAAATGCAATTAAATCGAAAGATTCAGTGCGCAACACGTGTGCGAAAATTCTAATTTCGCACGAAGCGCAATGAGAGTTGGTCGAATGCAGCCGTAGGCACTGATTACCGCTCTAATCATGCCATCCGACTCACGATCTTGTCCAGATACGATTTGAGCGACGCGTTCTTCTCGTCAATCTCGAGGTTCTTCCGTTCGATCACGTCCACGAGGTCCCGCCGGCTCGTCTGCGCCTCCGCCAGCTCCGCTTTCAGCCTCTCCCTCTCGCCATCCCCCTGAATCTGCAATATCGAATAAACAATAAAAACCTTAAACGACCTGAAAGTCCATAGAAGCCAGCCGAAACGTCCGGATAGTAACTATTTCGCGATTCGTAATTTAGGTGACAATGAACCGGCTCAAAATAACTTCACGGATGCGAGGAGCCTGGGAGACATACCCCCTCCAGCTGCAGGCGATGAACCTGCGCCTTAATTTCCGCGAGCTCGGCGGCTTTCTGATCGAGATCCGCGGTGAGGAATCCCTTCTCGCGCTCTAGCTGCGCGTTCTCGTCCGTCACCGCGAGGTACTTCTGCTCGATCAGCGAGCACGTCTGCTCCGCGTTGATCTCCGCTGCGTCCGCCTGCGCCTTATGCGTCTCTAGCTGCCGGAGGAGCGAACCTATTTGCTCCTCCGCCTTCCTCGCAACAGCCCTGACATCGCCCTCCACCGCCTGCAACTCCTCTTCCGTTAGGAAGAGAGGCATCGTGAAGCAACCAGGAAGATTCCCAGCGGAAATAAAATCTCAGGCTGAGCGAAATGATACTATCTTAGTTCGTCCCGCACAATTTGGAAAAGTTCCTAGCCGCATCTAGGCATAGCCACATCTATGCAGAGGCATGAGGAATCGCGTTGAAATAGGAGCGTTATGACAGGAGGGACGAAGTAAAAGCCCGAGAAATATCTCTGGTACCCCGGAAAAGGGTTTGAAAACAGGCGTTCCCGCCGATAGTGACTACAACGAGGGAGATTTGCGCTCTGACTGGATTCGTGCTGACACTTTTTCCGACTGCAGGAGAAACACACACGCAAAATTTCCAATTTGTATCTCACTGTGCGCTGTACACTCGTATGGATGTGTACACTAGCCTTTATTGTGCTGCTCAATGGAGTGGGTGATCTGTGATGATGCACTGCGCGACCTCTCGCTCTGTGAAGCGCCAATCCCGAGGCGACCCCAACCACCAGCGCTCTCTCTCCGTCTCTCACTCGCTCCTGCAACACCACTGGCGAGGCGACGCCCATAAAAATCTCCATACAGTACCAGGCCCACCCGACGCCTCGGGAATGTAAAACCCAACAGCAACGGCTACTTGCCTCGCTTATCTCGGAAACTGAACCCAAGGCACAAAAGTTGAGTCGTCGTTCACAGGCCACTTCACTTCAACCTTGGACTTCCGTAGTAAGTGGTTGAAGATCACACGTCGCCACTTCGCGTGTAGAGTGAAATTGGCTCATGCACATCCGAGTCCGCGATAGACTCTGATGATAAAAGCGGGTCATGCAAGCCACCAGGCCGTCATGGGCGCAAATGCTGACACGCTGAGCTTCTAAGGTGTCATGCAACCGTCAGCGTTGCGCGATCTTCTCAAGGGATAGCAGGTTACGGATCAGTTGATACCGCGTACAGGTCTGGGATAACGCCATTCTTTTCTCCTCCAATGGCTCTCTCTGGCCCGTCCCTATCAAGCACGAAATTCAGTAAAAGAATCCGAATAGTGCAGCATGTAGACAGCATATGCTTCCCCTCCTGTCCATCAAGCCGTCATGAATCCAGACTTTCCTCCGTAATAGCCGGTGCTGCTCAGCAGCCATGCGGATTTGTTACGCCAACCCGCAAATTATGCACGCGGTTACGACCTCCTGCCTTCGACCCGTTAAGACACGTGTCTCATCGCAAAAGCCTTGGGGACTCCACGAGCACATTCAGAAACACCGGAATTTTCCATTGCCGCGTCAGCGTTGAAAGTTCTCAATCAGGAGAACAAGCTTCCTCAACCAGTGAGGCTGGAGAGTCACCTGAATTACCTGGCAACACGCCAGAAGCAGAGCAGCATGATGAATTTGCTGATCCGCTCTTAGTGAATGCTTCTCAAACACCTTCAGTACAAGCCTCAGAGTCTGAGAAGCCGTACGTATCGCTAGAAGCAACTTCCACCATAGCCGTGGGAATGACTCTGCATGAGGAGGAACGAGCGAAGGAAGCCACAGAGAAGGACGCAGAGAAGGACAATGTACCCCGGTCGATCACGGAATTGGTGCCGCTGTTGATGGAGAGGGCTGCTGAATCCTTCACGAAGGTGGTTACGTCTCGAGCAGGCGGTTTGGTCGTCCTCAACGTTGTCACCATGCTCTACGGTACGTGCGGCCTGCAGTGAGGCGATTTTTGAGGCACCTAAAAAAATCGCCTCACTTCGCCAGGGTGGTTACCACTTGAGCAGGCGGTCTGATTGTCCTCAACGTCGTAACCATGCTCTACGGTACGTGCGGCCTGGCACTGGCAGTAGCATTGCCGTTTATACGACCATGCACGAATGGTGTTATCCCTGGCGGTCCTCCATTCTCGCAACGCAACGGCTCCCGGGGTCCTAATCGACAGAGAGCATGCTCCTCCCATGTCCTTTTCCCTTCACCCACGCCCTCCCACGCAGCCACCAACACCACCATTGTCAAGGGAGCAGAGGAAGCCGCAGGAGGGCCGCTGCAGTTCTGTCTGGGTCGCTTCGCCATCGCAGCACTCGCGCTCTCTCCGCTGCTCCCAGCCGCCCTCTCCAACCCCGCCGTGCGTCGCTGCGGCATCGAGATGGGCCTCTGGACGTCTCTGGCGTACCTCTCCCAGGCCTTCGCTCTCATCACCACTGGCGCTGGCCGCGTTTCCTTCATCAGCACCTTCACTGTAATGCTGTTCACCACCTTAGCTTCCTCCAACCGAACCACTTACTGCCTGTCTGCGGGTAGCTAAAACCCGAAATTTCATGAGTCTTTTGGTGCGTGGCCCACTTCATGCATGGCATGTTGATCTGGTCTGCATCTTGTGCGTTTGTTGTCTGTTGTTTGTTGCTTGTTATGTGGTTGCTCTGTCGCCTCACCTGCGAGGCAGATGATAGAGGTGCCGCTGGTGGCGGGTCTGCTGGGGGCGCGCATCCCTCCCCTCGTGTGGGCTGCCACTGCCTCCGCCGTTGCTGGCGTTCTCCTCCTCGAAGCCAACTCTGAAGCCTCCACGCTCGTGAGTCCACTCGTACTCTCAACCCTGGAAATTTACAGAAGCATCTCTGCTGGAGAGATGGTAGAAAAGAATCATTCATATTTACTCCCTCCCCTTGGTGTACATGATTTCAACAATCGCTCTTTCGCTCATGGAGTCCGGTCGTGTGTGTCACTCAATACGCTAGCTGGAAGTGCCAACCAACCCCTGTAGTCCTTTCGCACTGCATTCCCATCCTGCCATGTGTGCAACTTCTGGTGTTTAATGCCTCTGGGATGCTCGGCACCACTGCCTGAGGAGCACATGGGTCGGTTTTCACATAGTTGATGGTCCAGTGCACTCCGCTCTTTCCCTCTGTGCCATGCCGTGCACCGTTCTGCTCAGGATGACTTTTGAGTCGACTCAAAAAGCCAATGCACCCCGTTCTTCCCCTCTGTGCCATGCCATGCACCGTTCCTTCTCAGGATGAGTTTTGATAATTCTCAAAACACGATCCAATCCAATGCACCCCGTTCTTCCCGTCTGTGCCATGCAATGCCATGCACCGTTCTGCTCAGGTGGGCGACGGCCTGGCTCTGCTGAGCGCCATGGCTTTCGGGTTCCAAATCATTCGGTCGAATCAGTTTGCCAAGCAAGTGCCACCCACTGCGACCCTCGACCTCATCTCCATGCAGGTAGGCTGAGGGGCGCATGAGAGGGACTTTTGGAGCGGATGAGGGGGGATCTAGGGGGCGGATGAGGGGGGATCTAGGGGGCGGATGAGGGGGGGATCTAGGGGGCGGATGAGGAGAGGGGTGGGTGAGAGGGGGGTCATGCGAGATGCTTTCCCTCCCTGCGATCATGTGAGGGAAAGCATTTCGCAGGTGGCCATGCAGTTTTTGGATAAGGGTTGTTGGAGGCAGAGGATTTGGCAGGTGCCTATGATTCCTACTGATAAAATGTTGGTGGTAACGTATAATTAGACGAGAACAGGTGTGCCTTCACATGCTGCAGTGTTGTCTTTTGATCCGAGACATCAGCTCATAACAGGGCTTCAACTCGCGCCTGAGCTTTCGTGAGAAATGTTACCTCCAGTGTCCACTCCCCCATCTATCTGTCTCCCACCACACCAGATATTCACTGTGGCATGCTGTGCTGCCATAGGCCTGGCCATCACCAGCGCCACAGGGCTTCAACCAGACAGCTTAGCACTAGCAGAAACAACTGCAGCAGCAGCAGCAGGGGCGGCCACAGCACCAATTGGTGTCTTCCCATCGCCTGAGGAGCTAACGAGATTAGTGTCACAAGCGAGCACGTGGCCCTGGTTGCAAATGGCATACACTGGCATTGTTTCTACGGCACTCTGCCTCTGGCTTGAGGTGAGAATTCCCAAAAATCTTCATGTGTGTGAGTGACCGTTAGGCTACCTAATTTTGAGATGTTTGTGCTAACAAATTCCGGGTTCTGTTGTTGTTGCTATCCAGATTTTGGCATTCCGGCATGTGGCGGCGTCTGATGCGGCAGTGATATACACTCTCGACCCGCTCTATTCCGCCGTTTTGGCTACAATTGTTCTTCATGAAGAGTGGACCACATTAAGCTATATTGGAGCAGCTATGATTTTTGGTAAGAGGGAATCCATGTATGCTTTGCTGGTGCATTCATCACCCTCCGCTGACTCTACCTATCATTGTGAGACTCACTCTTACCCAAATTTGTTCTGATTTTGCAGGTGGGAGCGTTGTTGTGCAGCTTGGGAATGCAAACGATGATGTTGAGACGAATTAGTCTGTCTTATTGTCTATTTATTGGATGCGAATGTATAATTGCATTCGTGGCACGGCAATGTTACATTTGTATTAATTTTAGCATAAGCGAGGGCCAAACAACTTGTAGGGAGCATTGTTTTAACGGTTCTTCTATACGCACCAGGCAAATCAGCGCCAAGCAAACATAGGTTGCCTTCTGTGTAGAGGTCCCTACAGTTACCGCACTTGCGCGCTTACCGCGCTCGTACACTTACGCACCAGCGCACTTACCGCACCCGCGCACTGACCACAGTTGAACCAGCCGCGCCGCACTTACCGCCAGCCATGCAATCCGTCGCTCAACACTGCTTCGCGGCGCACCGCCAGCTGACGCGCCTGTTCCCACCTTCCGCGTCTTTCTCCGCAAGTGCTCGCCGCGCGACCGCATTCGCGCCAGAGAGGTGTCCAGGGGGCTTGATTGCGGCGAGCGGATATGGCGGGCATAATTTGCCTGCGTTGATTGCGCGGGGCGGGGTGCGCTGCCAGAGCTCGTCTGCGGAAGCTTCCGCAAAGGCGGAGCCGAATGTGAAGGACCTTGCCCTGAAGGCGCGGCTGGCGTTGTCGGCGGAAGAGGTGCTCGGGGGAGGGGAGGGGGGGGGGAAGGGGCGGGGATGTGTGGTGGGGGCGGTGGTCGGTTGGGGATGTAAAAGGACCTAGGGGGAGGGATTGTGGGTGCTGAAACCTGATGAGCTGCCGGATTCAGGTGATGGCTCG